TCCTACATTATACAGAGAGTGGCGTGGGGATTTAAATCTTATTCCTGGGCCTGTGATATGAAACTTAAAAAAATTAATTTCAAAAAGTTGATATTTGAACTGAGACTAACATAAAATTTTATGTTAGTCTCAGTTTATTCTAAAAATCTAAACTTTTGTTTCTAAAATGGCGGGAAATTCAAATATTTGAAAGTCTTATGAGATCAACAACTTTTTTTAAAACACATATAAACGTCTCAAATGACTTTTCAAGTCATGAAAACTAATATTTGAATGATAAAACCAGGCTAAGTATTTAAACTTTACACGGGACCTTTAATGAAAATTAGCTATATTTCAACGACGGTAGCTGTTGATGTAGCCTAAGCTTATCTATTTAAGATGTCATTTATTGATTTTATTTCACCAATATTGATATATTCTCATCATGGAATACCACGACCCTCTTCTTGCATCATAGATCGACTATTACAGACAGGTTTTTAGATGCGTGTATCAGAATGATATATTCTTGGTAAAAATAAATTACTATGACAGTGTTTCAACTAGATGTTTTATTTTCTTACTTTGTTTTGTAACACCATCCTTGCAATTTGGCATTTGTTCATACACCCTATGATAAGTTACGAGAATACATATACACATACAAAAAATTATTATTTTGCATTTACTTAGTTAAAAAACCTACTTACAGTACCTTCACTTTAGAAATAATCTAGATAGGAATGATTTTTGATCGATCTTATATTATAAATGATACACATGTTTAAGCTTAAATGGCCAATTATATTACTATGTTTTAATATTCAGATGAAAATTTATAACTGAGAAGACTTCGTTTAATAAAAAACGATCATTTCTAAGGTATCCTTACGTGTAGGACGTTTGTGCCTTTTTATGATATCGTATTGGACAATTGATTCCTGGGTTTGGCTGCGCAGCTGACATAAAACATATGATGTATGAAACTTGAACTTGAATAAATCGGATTTATTAGCCTATTATCCGATACCGTAACATACTAGTATTCATTTTTCTCTTAAACCAATTATTGAAAACATTCTGTAAAAAACACGCTCCTTTATGTAATGGTCACCGATTGGCAACGATTTAATGCGAACATTATTTATTACTCATTAAATAACTGTTTTTGTTAACAGTTTTTGTTTTTAGTGCAATTGTTTTTTTGTTCCTTTCTACCAATTCTTGAGAATGATATATAAATTATCTTTCCGAACCTTGTTGGAACAAAATAGCATATACAACGGGGATATTTATTTTTAAGGACAATAAACTAATAAGGAGGGAAACATTTATTACAAAAGAAAACAAAGTGGTGTTGATATTTAAGACATTAACAAATTGGCCAGTGTAAAAGGGTAGGAGGTCCTATCAAATTATGGTCCTACTCTCGATTGATTTATATGGTGACCTAAATACAACTTTTTCCCTCATTATCTAATACACAATCAGGGCCAGTAAGGGCCGTTAAGAAAGGGGACCATAATTCCTGGGGGACCATCATATCTTTTCCTCTGGTCCATTATTTTACAAGTAATCAGTTTCGGTGTGAAAGAAATTATGGCCCCCCAAGAAGGATGGTCCCCTTTCTTAAACGGCCCTTGCTGGCCCTGATTGTGTATAAGATATTAAGGGAAAGAGGTCACCATGTAAATCAATGAAGAGTAGGACCATAATTTGAGAGGACCTCCTTCCCTTTTACACCGAACTCCTATGCAGTGTCTCGGTATAGACACTGCGGCGGGCAGATTATGGAATCCCCCAAATTTGGGGAAGATAGTCCCCCTTTTTGTCACAAATGTACTTGTTTTTCACACAACTTATAAAATATATGTTCTTTTATGTTCACCAATAATTATTTTGTCAAATTATTCCAAAATCAATGAAATATAAGAGCAAATCCCCGCAGAAGGAATTCTGAGTAAAAGTTGCGTTGATAAAAGTTTACCGCACGTGTTGTTTATTAGTTAATACGCGCAATTCAACCAATGAAATTGTCTAAATTTTACAATCACGCGACCTGTGCATGGGACTAGAACCAATCACGTCAGTTGTTTATTACGATGTTACCATGCTTACGGTGAGACACCTGCCCGCCGCAGTGATATATCACTGCACGGGAGTTCGCTTTTACACCGGTCACCATGTTGATTGCATAACAACCAAGAGCCTAATAATATGGGGTGCTCCAGATGTGATGTTATTACTGATTATGTTCCTTATATGTGTACCCTTTGCATTCGTTTGACTTCACTTCTTAAAAGAGAGCTACGTCTTCGTAGTTTAACTAGACTCTGCACGCAGGGTATTATATGTGTATAATGTATATAACTTTTTACTAATTTATTTTCTTTAATTAGAAATTGTACTCTACAGAATTGGAGGAAATAAAGATACAAACAAAAAGAGGTGGTGTTTATTTCTCAGGTCATCCACCATTTTTACCAAGCCTTCTCTCCAAGTAACAAAACAGGTGATTTACTTATTGAACGTTGTGTATTGCACAGTCCCTTTAATCAAACATGTACGGTTCATATATTGTTCATAATGAAGTGTATAAAACTGGTGAATACAGTTCAGATACTTTTTTTCAATTGACCCTACATTAAATTATAAATTATTGAAGCTATCACATTAACAAAAATTGTATAACATTAATACACTACAGGGTTTATCTCAATTACATGAAATCATACTAGACACAGAATACAATTTGTAGTCTACAATCCATCACAGAATACAATTTGCAGTCTACAATCTATCACAGAATACAATTTGTAGTCTATAATCTATCACAGAATACAATTTGTAGTCTACTGTATAATCTATCACAGAATACAATTTGTAGTCTATAATCTATCATTCATCATCAAGCCTCTGCTTCCCAAAAAATTAAAGTGTTTTTTTTTTTAGTGGGGATACATGAGGGTTTGTATATTAGTATACTTTGCAATATTAATAGGGAAATCGTAAAACACCTGAGTATAGAGGGAGCTTTCTTAGTGCATTATCACACCCATTATTCAAGGGGAGTAAGTCACCCTCTCTAATATTCTCTATATTAATATAGGCTGCAGAATATAAGAGGGAGGGGTGACTTACTCCTCATGCCACGAGGATATTTAGATTACAGTACAATGAAAGAATCAGTACTCGAGTTGTCTGATGCAAACTATTTCTCTACAGAATTCTGTTTATGGTTTCTCATGAACTACTGAATCTCATCAGCCATTTTGTTTCTCTTGAATAAATTATTAATAAATAATTATAATACATTTACTAATACCTTGCAATTAACTTTTCATGGTACCTTGCTATGTTTCATACATGTACATATGTAAATTATTTGAGCTCAGTTAGTGATGATATTCTCCAAATGTTAACAGTTGTTGATCATTATCAAGTCAATGTCTGTCAATGTCTCTAAATTGTTATATGGAGTAAAGGAGTTAAACCATAGCATAATAACCATTACATAACTGTCAACATTTGGGCATCACCCCTGCATTAAAATATCAACAATGTACAAAAAGAGACAATGATAATTTAATTTAGGGTGGGAGGGGGCAAATGACCATTTTGTTTGGTGGTCTTTTGTCTTTGAAAATTTTGCTTAGATAACAATGTTGATAGACTGTACATGGGAAATCTACGTTCAGTTGGTTTTGTATGATTTTAGAGGAGCGGGTGATATCGAAACTAAATAAATTCTGTGGTTTGGTGTCAATTGATGCTTTGATGTGGTCCCTTTGTACAATGTTTAAGGCTGTAGAGGCTGTACCCCCAGAATAGTATAAAAGACCAACTGCCCCAATATACTGCAGTTTTACATGTTCTGTAATGACTCAATTTTGCAAAAACAACATCTCAATCTGCAAAAATGATATGCTCAAACTTTAATTGTGCGAAAGTATGTGCAAAATGACACACACAAATATTTTGCTTTTACAATTTTCAACATGCAATTACAATATCAGAGTCTATTATATCATTTCTGGTTACAAAAAACAGCCCCATTTTCTTGCTATATGTGGATCTTCAATTTCGAGATAAAAATTCTACTTCTAAATTCTAAACAAAAATGACCAAATACTGTACATTTTCAAATATTAAACCAGGCATTAATATGACAATATGGTACAACCTGGTAAGCTATAGCAAATTTTACAAAATTGTAACAACCTGTCACAGACATTGTCACCAACCACCAATCACAAAAACAGTGGCTAAAACAATGTCACCATGACAACATGGTGTCATAAACATAATAATCATGGTGCTAATCACATTCAAATCACACAACTCACTATTTTCTCATTTTTTGACTTTTAAGAAAAACTTCTTATAATTATAAATGTATAAAGTTTCTAACCTGCTGTTTCAAATGCAGGAGACTAAGCTTTTACAGGACTACAGTATTGGCAAGCCTGTAGAGTAGACTAATGAATATACACAGTACACTATACAATGACGATGGTTTTGATTCGAATACTGTAGGAACATCACACTTGAAAGCTGACCCCAATCATGCTTATTCCATGTGATTTCTCTCTAAAACTTGAATGATTCTGACATTTCTATACAATTTAGAGTATTGACTACATACAGGTTAACTTTATTCCTCGCTAATTCCACTCATTTCTCTCTTAAATTTGAATGAAGTATCTGATTTTCTGACATTTCTATACAATTTAGAGTTTAAACTTCATGTCTGTTTACTTTATTTCTTGCTTATTTCACTCATTTCTCTCTGAAATTTGAATGAAGTGTCTCATTTCATTACATTTCTCAAGGACATTTCTATACAATTTAGAGTTTCATCTACATGTCTGTTAACTTCATTTCTTGCTTATTTCACTCAATTTCTCTCTAAAATTTGAATGAAGTATCTGAATTTCTTACATATCTATATAATTTAGAGTTTAAACTTCATGTCTGTTTAATTTATTTCTCACATATTCCACTCTTCTCCACTCTATTTTGCATTTCAAAACATGACCACATGAAATGTTTTGATGTTATTTGAATCCAAACACCTCTACTACACTGCATTGGAAGTCTTCACAAGAAGCAAGGGGAGCATTGTCAAATGTGTCACATTTCTGGGTGCGACCCTTGTCTAAATTGTTGTCAAGTTGCAGGCCTTGGCCTCCCCTGGAAATAAAAAATGATAATGTCTGAAATACATAATTCTCATCATATCTGCACAAATTGAGGAATGAGACCACACTAATGGGTGAATTTTACATACATGAATCCTTAGGCTTTCATCCTGTGTTTTCATTACCATGAATCAAGTGCTTTTCATTGAAAATATAATTAACAAAATCATGCTCAAGTGAAGTATTATTTCATTTGTTTAAATCATGAACAACATTTTGTATACATGTAGTACATAAATAGGCAAGCACCCAAATAGGCAAGCACCCACATATTTTCCCATGAATAAATTGGGATCATGTTTTTTTTCATTACTAATGAAGGTCTCATTCAAATACCATTGTTTTATTTTATCCTAGCCATGGTACTATATTCACCTACCCTCCTATGGTAATAACAAAACCCTACACTAACTTACCCTCCTCCTATGGTAATACCATAACCCTGCATTAACTTACCCTCCTCCACCTATGGTAATACCAAAACCCTACACTAACTTACCCTCCTCCACCTATGGTAATACCATAACCCTGCATTAACTTACCCTCCTCCACCTATGGTAATACCCTGGTGATCTCCAGACATGAACATATGCTGATTAAATGGCACATTTCCTCTTGAATTTATCCCCACCCAGGGGTAGTGTACAGCCTGGGGGTGCAGACTGAATAAGAATGTCTCTCCTGTGCCAAAGAATGACAACTTCTTATCCATTTGTTTCCTTTCTTCCCAATTAGCAGAACAATAAGCACCGAATATCTGCAAAACAATGTTTAGTGTGAAAATAGTGAAACAACATTCAGATTTTCTTCTAAATTTTAGTTTTTGTAAATCCCATAATTGCAATGATTGATGCGCATTTTTTCAAAAAACAATTTTACAAAAATGAGGCCTATTTTGAAAATAAAGCCCAAATTTTGAAGGGCCCCTGCCCAGATTAACCAATGTACTCCAAATCCAATATTATCATACCTCGTTCTTAGTTGTCTTGACAACCAAAATTGTCTGTTCGTCTTCCAGACAACGAGAAAATAAAGTTCCAATACTTGTGCCATGTTCGCTGGTTGTGAATAGTAAGGTGGGTTGATAAACAGTCATCCGAGTAGGCAACCATTCATATATTGTCTGTAACTGAAACAAACACAATCATTTCACATTTAGGTTATCTGTAATATATGTTTGAATTCTTATGTGTAAATTTACTAAATGAGGTTATTAAAACATTTAAGACTATACTGTTACAAAGAATATCTATTTGTTAAGGGGGGGGGGGATACATGACACATTATTTGACACTCAAAGTGGATCCAAGACACATGCATTTGACATTCAAACTGGATACATGACACATGCATTTGACATCACACTGGATATATGGCACATGCATTTGACATCATACTGGATATATGACACATGTATTTGACATCATACTGGAAACAGGACACATGCAATTGACACTCAAACTGGATACCTGACACATGCATTTTACATCACACTGGATACATGGCACATGCATTTGACATCATACTGGATATATGACACATGCATTTGACATCATACTGGAAACGGGACACATGCAATTGACACTCACACTGGATACCTGACACATGCATTTGACTTCATACTGGATACATGACACATGCATTTGACATCATACTGAATACATAACACATGCATTTGAAACTCAAACTTGATACCTGGCACATGCATTTGATACTCATATTGATACTTGGGACACTAACAGTAGACATATGACACATACATTTGACAAGACACATACATGAAATGACACAAACATACCATTTACTGGACACATACAAATGACACATACACTAAATACATACCATTTACTGGACACATACAAATGACACATACACTAAATACATACCATTTACTGGACACATACAAATGACACATACACTAAATACATACAATGGGCACATACACAGCGTGCAAACTCACGTCCTTGCACTGCAGAATGTATGATTTGATCTCAGTTACAGTTAAAACTCCTAGTAAACTTGAGCGTGGACACCCTCCCTACATTAAAATCATTGTAAAGGTATGTAAAAAAAATATGAACTTCTAAATGTGTTTATTGATATCATAATACCGGAGATATATACAAAAATATGTCAGGGATCAACGTTTGAGATCAATTAGATTTTAGAAATAAAAAACTTTTAATAACTTTGTAAGGTACTGTTGCATTGGCTGAACCATGCATGACTCATTTGGAAAGCATGTTTTTGAATATTGATGCCAAGATGATACAAGTACTACCAGACCCAAGGCCTGCTGTTTGCTGTTTCACATTTTAGAAGATGGAGAGGCTACCAATAGAGACACCAAGATAGCAGAGTTGGAGATGGAGTGTGGGGGGGGGGCTGGGCAAAGGACCAAAAGTAAAAATCAATTTTAGAGGAAACAGATCTGTCTATGTTTACTCCCTAGATATGTATTTACCTCACTTAATTTCATATTTTGGAGAATATACAAAAGAGTTGTTTTTTATAATTGACACATTTGTGTGAAGCAAAAAATTTGAAAAAAACGAAAGATTGAAAATAAACCCCTCATGATACTCTAAATGCTCAAAGCTTCTCACTGGTCATTAATACTTACATGTGACGTAGAGACTACTTCTGATGATACATCATTAAACTGCATTGTACTGGCTGGCCCACTAAATGACCTGAAAAAATTAGAATGTAATTACATTGTACTGGTTTGGCCATTTAAAGCCTGTAAGAATTGAATAACTGAAATGTAATGAACTACATTGAACTGGTTTGGGCACTAGATGCAGGATACTAATGAAAGTAGCATGTTTATTGTACACTTACATTGTTTTATTGTATACTTTTACCTTCACCTTGCTTTATTGTACCCTTACCTTGAGACTTTGAGGTCCAGAGACTCACATGATGTTGACTTGGGTAGGTGGGGTACCTCTGCCATGTTATTTTGACTCTTCAAGAACATCTCGTTCTTTGTACCAAATCTGGCTATCTCTTTACGGGATATGCCTCGGATACCAAAAGCAACCTAACAAGTAATTAATCTTTGAAATATAATACATATATAATGTCACCTTCATCCTTTTTTATGGTTTAAAATATATTACATACAGTGATCTCCCCAGTATTAAAGGAAGTGGGCGCAGCACCCACCTGAGATTTTGAAAACAAGCTTGCCCCCACCTGAAAATCCATTTGAACCCACTTGAAAATAAGAAAAATTATGAAAAATGTGCATATTTTGACCAATTTTGGTCTGCATTGTGAAAATTAGAATTTTGCACCCACTTGAGAAAAAATCCTGCGGAGATCACCAACATACATACATGTTGAACATGCCTATTATGTAAGTACAAGTGCGTATACAAGTTACAAGTACCTATATTTTGTACAGTTACAAGTCTGGTTGAGGAAATGTAAAGAAGATGGAACCAGATATTTGATATAAGACCAAGTACATCTTGTAAAGTCAAAAACACAAACTGAAAAACTGAGAGAAATTGGAAACTGCACTTTTTTAACTTTTTGAAAATTGATTTTTGAGAGAAATGATTTAAAAAAGCCTAAACTTGAGTAGTTTCTCCACGGAGAGGGAAATTCAGAAACTGATCTTTGATTATTTTTTGGGAGACATAGAAGTCTTGTAACACTGTATACTGACCTTGAGTAATTTATCCACAGTGACAGGAATATCCTCGCAAAATTGAGCGATGGCATCCTTTACGCTGCCATCTATATTAGAATTGGAGCGCTCAATGTATTTTTGGAATCGGATCAGAATGGCTAGTGCAACTCTGTAGAGAATCTTTGAGCCTTCATACAGGTAGCAATCCAGTATTCTCACCTGAAATAATATTAACAAAAGATAGAAATCTGGAAATAAACTTAAACTTGGAAAACTTACAGTTGTACATATTGTACAATTATTGTATTGTAATGTATAACTTTTTGTAATAAATACTTTGTATTTGTAATCTACAAAATCAATATGCCCAAATATGAGCGATGAGAAAATAAACTTAAACTTTATACATATATTTTTACAATTATCAAATATTATAGAAGGGTACGAGAGAATAAGACAAATATATTATTATGACTACAGGTTAAAAGGTTCAGTCTCCACTTGGGGTTGGCCATAGGGTGGAAATATTAAGTGTGGATCATATAATTGCTACTCACCAAATAAGGAAAAGGCAGATCTCTAAAAATCCACCAGACCCAAGACTCTAATACATCTTCAATGGCTCCATTATGATGTGAAGTCAGGAATGTATATGCTTGTTTCTGAAAGAGATATGGCTCCATTATGATGTGAAGTCAGGAATGTATATGCTTGTTTCTGAAAGAGATATGGCTCCATTATGATGTGAAGTCAGGAATGTATATGCTTGTTTCTGCAATAAAATAGATATGGCTCCATTATGATGTGACGTCAGGAATGTATATGCTTGTTTCTGCAATAAAATAGATATGGCTCCATTATGATATGAAGACAGGAATGTATATGCTTGTTTCTGCAATAAAATAGATATGGCTCCATTATGATGTGAAGACAGGAATGTATATGCTTGTTTCTGCAATAAAATAGATCTGGCTCCATTATGATGTGACGTCAGGAATGTATATGCTTGTTTCTGCAAGAAAATAGATATGGCTCCATTATGATGTGACGTCAGGAATGTATATGCTTGTTTCTGCAATAAAATAGATATGGCTCCATTATGATGTGACGTCAGGAATGTATATGCTTGTTTCTGCAATAAAATAGATATGGCTCCATTATGATGTGAAGTCAGGAATGTATATGCTTGTTTCTGCAATAAAATAGATATGGCTCTACTATGATGTGAAGTCAGGAATGTAAATGCTTGTTTCTGCAATAAAATAGATATGGCTCCATTATGTTGTGAAGTCAGGAATGTATATGCTTGTTTCTGCAATGAAAGAGATATGGCTCCATTATGATGTGAAGTCAGGAATGTATATGCTTGTTTCTGCAATAAAATAGATATGGCTCTACTATGATGTGAAGTCAGGAATGTATATGCTTGTTTCTGCAATAAAATAGATCTGGCTCCATTATGATGTGAAGTCAGGAATGTATATGCTTGTTTCTGCAATAAAATAGATACGACTCCATTATGATGTGAAGTCAGGAATGTATATGCTTGCTTCTGCAATAAAACAGATATGGCTCCATTATGATGTGAAGACAGGAATGTATATGCTTGTTTCTGCAATAAAATAGATATGGCTCCATTATGATGTGAAGTCAGGAATGTATATGCCTGTTTCTGCAATGAAAGAGATATGGCTCCATTATGATGTGACGTCAGGAATGTATATGCTTGTTTCTGCAATAAAATAGATATGGCTCCATTATGATGTGACGTCAGGAATGTATATGCTTGTTTCTGCAAAAAAGAGATCTGGCTCTACTATGCATGGAGTGATAAATGTTTGTCTCTGTATCTATAATAAAATGTACTACTTCACGTATGCTATCTAATGAATGCAAAGCCTCAATTCAATAAAATTCCAGGCAATTATTTCTCAAAACGTTTTACTGAAATGAAACATAAATCGCCAAAATACAGTTTTTCAGAAATCTTAATCAGGTAAATCATGCTTACAGCATATTTCTTCATGAGATCCCTTAGGACGTGTTTCGATGCGTCATACCCTATCTTCGTCTGTGTTAGGTAGCTTCCCTCACGACTCCTCACCAACCAATAGACGCAATTGAAACAATCAGCCTCGGACATGTAGTGCAGGAATACGCTTGCGATGGCGAACAGGACTGGACTGAAAGTGACGTCAGGGTTTGTGTGGCCGAGAACGCAGACAATTTTCTTGACGATATGGATCCCGTGGTTGCTAAGGTGATAATGTTGCATGTGTGAAGGGTCGACAAATGTCGGGAGTGGCACGTCTGAGTGATATTTTGTACCTGTGGTATAAACCCATAATTCATTAATGTACCCATAATGCAACATTTTTTAAGAATAACGTGATAGCATATTCTCAATGCAATTCAATGCACATATGTAATGCAATACACATGATGCAACTTGTATAACATTGTATAATCACACCTAATCATGTGAAACCCTTACCATCCAGTTATAGGGTCAACAAATCCTTTAACCACAAATCAAAAAATCATTTATTTAGGAAACCTGAGTGTTGGGTGCAACTATCCCATAATGCAAGTTTCATTAAAACATTACAGAAATACCCACTGTTTTATAAAAATGAAATTTTTGTTTTAGTATTACCATCTCCAAAGATGTCTTTCTTCATATCTTCATAGAAACTGCCAGGGTCCCTGTGATGCAGTCTAAATAGACGCAGCCATAGTACACTGCGGACCTGCAATAACATTGGCAACATTTTGATATTTCCTCAAAGATAAACTAGAAAACGGCAACTCCACGGAGTAGTAAATCCCAAAGAACACTATATAAATTATGAAACTGTACAGTCACAATGTAATATTTACCATTTTCTTTTCTCTTATACTTGAGATCATTATAGTGTCATGGTGAATTCCTGCTCTAGGCAGCCATTTTGAATTTTCTGAGGCACAAATCAGAAAAACAATACCATAATTGTGAATCCACACATACAGAAAGAAGTCTTACCTCATGTCTGAATCCACACATTCAGAAATAAGTCTTACCTCATGTCTGAATCCACACATTCAGAAATAAGTCTTACCTCATGTCTGAATCCACACATTCAGAAATAAGTTTTACCTCATGCCTGAATCCACACATTCAGAAATAAGTCTTACCTCATGTCTGAATCCACACATTCAGAAAAATACTGACACGCCCAAAATGCAATCTGATTTTCCATGCTGTTTCGCTTCCAAATTTCGGTGCCGTTTTGGCACCAAATGGACTGACTAGTCCGGTGGCAAATTTTGGTGTCGAAAGGTATCGGTGCCAGAACGGTGTCGGAACGGTGTCGAAACGGTGCCGGAACAGCACTGAAGTTTCCACACATTCAGAAATAAGTCTTACCTCATGTCTGAATCCACACATTCAGAAATAAGTCTTACCTCATGTCTGAATCCACACATTCAGAAATAAGTCTTACCTCATGCCTGAATCCACACATTCAGAAATAAGTCTTACCTCATGTCTGAATCCACACATTCAGAAATAAGTCTTACCTCATGTCTGAATCCACACATTCAGAAAGTAATCTTACCTCATGTCTGAATCCACACATTCAGGAATAAGTCTTACCTCATGCCTGAATCCACACATTCAGAAATAAGTCTTACCTCATGTCTGAATCCACACATTCAGAAATAAGTCTTACCTCATGTCTGAATTCACACATTCAGAAAAAATACTTACCTCATGTCTTAATCCACACATTCAGAAATAAGTCTTACCTCATGTCAGAATCCACACATTCAGAAAGTAAGTCTTACCTCATGTCTGAATCCACACATTCAGAAATAAGTCGTACCTCATGTCTGAATCCACACATTCAGAGATAAGTCTTACCTCATGTCTCAATTCACACATTCAGAAATAAGTCTTACCTCATGTCTGAATCCACACATTCAGAAATGCGTCTTACCTCATGCCTGAATCCACACATTCAGAAATAAATTTTACATCATGTCTGAATCCACACATTCAGAAATGAATCTTACCTCATGTCTGAAACCCCAATGTTGATCACGTATAAAAGCCTTTATTTTGTCTTGGTTGCCATTCTTTATGACTCTGTCTAGTTCTTTTGTATTACTACCCTTAGCTTCTGTTGCTGCATCTAAGAGAGGAACAAAGTAATGATATTTAATGAGGCTATAATAAATAGGAGTAGATTTGATTTGAATCACAACAGTAGATAGGAATAAGTATATTTATACATTTAAATATATTTATACATATGTCTACTTTCATTAGATGACTGTTTAATAGCTCATCATCCAATTGTGTCTCAAATTTTTTACTTACAGCGTGTAAAAAGTAAAAATATTGCTATGTTATTGGAAAGATAGCCTCTTACATTTCAAACTAAAATATTTTTCAAATTCTTTGAAATATTCAGAATTTTAACTATGAAAATAGTCCTCAGTCTAGAAAAACTGTTGCATACTCGACAATCTTTCTCTAATCCAAGGTAATTTATTCAGTGCTATTTATTAACATCGACCTACCTGAATTGCCTGGAGTAGTGCAGAATGATGGGTCCACAAACTCTGTCAAAACACTAGTAGACATGGACATTATGAAGCCACACCTCTTATCCTCTGTTATCTTCGAACTGAAGTCTGGAATGAAATCAAGTTACAATCTAATACTGTACTTCTACTTAATTTGAATTTACTGTTTTGAACATTTGGCAGCTACTTAATTTGGCAGACTTGCAATATTACAATACAATAATGATACTAATTTACATGGTACTAAAATTATTGGGGAATTTTGTGGCTACTTAATTTGCTGGACTTTGGCAATTTGGCGGATCCATCAAATTAAAACATGTGCCAAATTAAGTAGAGGTACAGTAAGAAAACATTGTGTACCCTTTGAAACAGTGATTGTCTGATACTCTACAAACTGGTACAACCTCTGAACTCAGTATGACACAGACTGGGAGGATAACAAACTCAATCGAAACTAAGTAAGGAATACCATACACGATAAGTACCCTGCGCGCAGAGTCTAGTTAAACTACACTCTGCCTAGTAGAGACCGTGTTACAGTTTAGTAGCCCCGCCCCCACGACGGGTACCGGTGACAGTTTGGGTAATAAATCACTTCTGACCTACGCGCTGACCTTTCTTCCACCAATCAGCGAGCTTGAAGAAACATACGCCAAATGCGTATGTCATTGGTCAATCCCGGGCTCAACGATGACGTCAGAAGGAATGACCATATATAGAACGTTGGTCAAATTTGGCCGACGAACACTGATTGGCGCGGTGAGTTCACAGGTTTAAGAAGTGAAGTACATGAGAGGGTAGTTTCCATGTGCTTATCTCAGGGTATAACTATATCTCTACAGTTGTGATGTCTCCTTACAAAGCTTCTCCTTTGGGAAACAGTAGAAATTGGAGCTTCTTGTTAAGGGACACAATAACGTCATGAACATTGCTTCACCTTTGGGACAATGGGACAATGTGAGTACTTCTTACCATTATTCCATATATGGCACCAAGCCCATATATTTTAAAAATTCCAGAGAGGGTTCATTTCATATTTGTCAATTTTAGCCCAAACTCACTTGAACAGTGCTCAAAATGGTGAAAAACTGCTTAATTTTGAAAGATGTGCTATGGGCCTGGCATTTGCATATGTTTATCCCCCAAGCCACTTCTGGTGGTGATATAATAACCCCAGAATTTGCATCTGGAAAATAATTTGAATAGTTCAGGTTGACTTTGTCCACAATTGTAAACATATTCTTATTAAAAAAAAACCTATGTGTCAAACAAGGGCTTATTAAAAACGCAAATACGACACAACTTGGGAAAACCTTCTAACCCACAGGGAAATCAAAGCTGTTGGTTTACCCATACCTTTTCGACATTAGGGACTAATTAGTTGTTTTTATAAGGTTTATGTACATTCACATACTTAATAGGAAAGATTATATCTTCCTGCTATGTTGTCAGACATTGTTTGAACTATAATAATAGAATAAGATTTCAGACACCATCTGTGATAAAAAAATATGTTAATTAAATAATTAGAAAAAAAATCATGTCCCCAATATGTTTCAATGAAAAAAGTCTAATCAGTTTAACCTGGAATTCCAAAAATATTCATTATTCATTTTGGGTTAAATTGAATTGTATTTGTAATGGGGTATTTTCTATCATCTTTTAATGGTATTTTCATTGCAATATTGAATGACAATGTGAAAATACATGTACATTGAATTAGAGACTTAAGGAGGGGGGGGGGTACTTCCCCTAGCTTTATTTCCACTTGACATGTGCTACATTTACTTTTTATAGCATTTAACTAATGTTTCCTCAAATTAAAGATACATTATGCCATACTTTTCTCTCTCATACAATAAGTACCTTAAGGAAATATCTTGATACCAACTTGCGTGGGCAAACTCAGCATCTGCCTTGAGCCAGGCAGCCAATCAGATTCAAAGCTGGTTTTAATTTCTATTAGAATTTCCAGAAATGCCATTTACGGAGGTCTTTTGGTCATGTGACAAAACTAATAAACAAATTAATAATGACCAATCAGATAGCATATGAATTTCCCCAGTTCATTCAAGTTTCAGGTAATCAAGTGATGAAAATAATTTGAATGGTCAGCACACAATCGCCAATTAAGCACATACATGTAGAGCGGTGGATTTGGGGCTTCTTTGTTGGTATGTAGATCAGAATACATGTTAGTTACGGTAGAAGAGCATAATCAAAACCCTTCTGGACTTTTGTTCCATGTTGAGCCATCCCTCTCCCTAATTTGTGCACATAGAATTTCACTACAATTTCCACAGGACTCCGACAGTCAGTAAATGTACATGTACTGTAAGGTTGACAAGCCAGTCTGTCAGATACAGACTATGAATTTCATGAACTGCTGGTACTGAGGTGATGAGAGGCCAAACCCCTCTATGGTACAGGCTCATGATTTTTTGAATAGAAGACCCTTTTCATTTATTTTGATGTGGTGACTCACAATCATGCAATGTTTGTCTGTCAGTGAAAAAGTCAATATTAGCCTACATGTAGGCTATTCTGATCAACCATCTTGTTGTTCATGAGTTAATATAACAGGAGAGATAGATTGGTCATCATTTCTCGATCCTCTATTCTTAGGACTAACACAGCTTTCACCTGATCAGCTTATCTGTCATTTTCTTGACCCTCCCCTTTCAACTCAAGGTTTTTGAATTCACAATTTTATTTGTCAACTTACCACTATCTGAGACGAAGACACGCGTTATTTACAATAAAATCACGTCTGCACCATCTTCACTATCATTGTATTTATAATGTGATATCTACATCCCCCTCTTTAGGCGGTAAGATCGTATTTTAGTAGAAAATCAATAGAAAATTAGATTTGTTTCTTCCCAGTTTCCGAAATGCATTGTGGGAAAATTGTCTGCTTTTTCAACTTATTGTATTTCTCCTCTTTAAGCCATTGTCAAGTCTCTTATAGGTAGTAAACATGATTTATTATACAGTATTGTATATATATCTTTATATTGTGAATATATTTGAAGTGTGAAACACCGTATTTGACGTATTAAAAGCCAATAAAGTTTTGCGATTTCTTGTCTACAGCTCTCCTAAAAGGAGTTATGAAAATACAGTTGATGATTTAAAAATTTAGTAAATCCGGTTTATTTGCTGTATTTACCCTACAAAGAGGTGACGTTTGACATAATTACAACAGTCATAACTTAATAACTACATATTCTCTAGATTTAATGTCGTTTTATTAAATTAGATTGCTTAATTGTACTAAAATTTTAAAAACTAATGTATTATCGCCCACTCACATGGATTTTATTTGACCAAAAAATGTAGTCCAGTCTACTTCTATCAAAGGTTATGTTAATCCACAATTAATTTTATAACTCGAAATGCCTCACCTAAAACCAGGGTTATATGTTTATAGACTAGAAAATGGCTACACCTGCTGTACATGTACATAGATCACCAGGCAAGTTCCAAGGTTGTGGCAGGGGTGTGTTTGGACTAGACAACTGGGGACCACTGCGTAGACCTGGGCAAGACTCACAACAACAACAATCTCAACAGAATAAAGGTTATTAATATTTACTCGAGTCTCTAGCCAAATTACTTGGCTAGAAGACCGTAGACCACCGTGCACTAGTGAAAACGATCATTCGGAGTAAAAATAAATTTATGTGTTATTTTAAAAATTGTGTGGATTTCCTAGTATTTCTATGCAAAATAGCACGCTCCGTCACAGCGGAAAATTTTTTCGAAACCAGCCTGTGTGTTTAGTAAACCTGGAAACAGGTCAATGGTAGCTCCTGTGTTGTCTGGAAACTTCAAAAGAAAATTTGGAAAAATAGAAAGGGTGAAATATCAGAATTTCCTTGAGTTCCCATTGAACTCTTACCAGATTTATTCAAAGAAGACAAAGGAATGATACTTTCCTGCAAAAAGCAAGGAAACACATGCCTTCATACTCTATTTTGTACCAGAAAATAACATGTGCAGGTATAGCAATTTTTTATAGCAAATTCCGAACATGCAACCTGGCCTTAATCAAGCAATCGGTAACTAAATAACTACAAATATATTTAGATAAATGTCACATGCGTTCATTATTTCACAGTAGTCTCTTCCCATAATGAACCTTATATTGCGGGAATATTTTCCTGTAGTGTTAAAACAAATAATTCTCAGCTCCAATGTATGTTTTCTATTCCTTGGTAATAATCTTCCATTTGGTATCTACATTATAACTGAACCAACCGCAGAGAAGCAATTTGAATCATGGAAATGAAGAACTTTCATTTTTTGCGCATGGGCGAAAAACTGAACCAAATAAAAATGGAATCTCAGGCAGATTGCCTAGACTAAAAATATCTTTATTAGCATAGGATGCATGTCTAAATCCATGGTTTTGAAAAATTGCTTCCAAAAATTCATGTCATTTTCAAAATAAAGTATGGATGTGAGTCTATTCTCTTACTTCAAGAAAGTATCTTTGCATTGTCTAGTTTTAGTTAATCTGGTAAGAGTTTTGAATTTTAATTTAGAAAAGTGGATGAACAAAATTTAGCTGTATCCCCAAGACAACACCTCTAAAATGGAACACTCTACCTGGTGACATATTAGACAGTGACAGTCTAAGTAGTTTAAAATCATGAGATAATGCCTATGTCAATAATGGCAATTAAAGTGGAGACTTTTCAATATAGATCTATTTTTACCCACATCACTCAACTCATTGAACAACAACATCAATGAACAAGGTCCCCAGTGCACAGCCACAAGCCTGCACTACTGACAAACAGGGGCAATGTCGATCGTCTCCATTCAATTTTAAAATGAGTTAAAACCAAACATGATCTATTTTTAAATGCTAGGCTTAAATTAAGTTCTTTTCAAATTCTATCACTTGATTTAGATAATCATATATCTGCTTTTAGTTTTAATGGGCTTATGAACTTTTTGCAGATTATTGACATAGACATACTGAACAGCCCTTTCACAGCCGATTCATTAGCAGCAGGCAACAGGCAATTTTTAACAGTTGTTTTCACAAAATCTCCTGTAGTACAGTTGTTTTTAGGGACTTTTCAACTTTTTCATGTTAAATTTATGATATCCACTTAGCCCAGCCTCTTGTGACAAATTCTAGCGAAACCCCTGCTTTCTTTTTTTGCCTCACCTAATTATTTTGATTTATCTAATCTGTTCTTGGGATCCTAACTTTGCCCCTGTTTACATTGTTTAAACGATTCTCTCAAAGATGAGACAAATCAGTCTGGGAGGATGACCTTTTTCAGAGTTTAGCTCAATGTGTCAACTGTATTGGAATATTAAAAAAGATCATTAAATAAAAATCTATTTTTAGTTCCAGCTACAAGCCAACAGACAGTGTCAGCATCTAGTCAGAAAATTACAAAAGACGGTGAGTATACAAGGCATATTTGATATATACGAGAAATACTCATAGCTTCATTTTAGAATCTCAAAGAAAAAATGAATCCTCATCATGTTATTGTTAGTCAATTTTTTTGTAATTTTATGTGAAGTTGGGTATGAATTACAAATGTAAATCGCTGATATTTTTTCAAGATCACTATTTGGGTTAGTCTATGCATGGGCTTTCTTTCTTACATTCATGGTTTTAAATTGGCAATGTGAAATAATACTTGATTCTCTATACCTTAAATAAATGGTTTAGCTACTTGAGTAAAGTGCATAGATCGATATTAAAAATCTATTTTTATCTATAGCACCACCTAGTACACTAGTCAAAGGCACAAAACTACTAGCCAAGTACAACTATAAAGCTAACAAAGACAGTCCACTTGGCGAAACAGAACTTTCCTTTAAGCAGAAAGATAACCTGATGTTTCTGATGGTCCATCCAGACAACAGCCATTGGTGGAAGTGTCAGAATGAGCAGGGAATGATGGGATACGTTCCTGGGTCATACCTCTATGTAAGTGTCATACCTTTATGTTTGTGTCGTACCTTTATGTTTATATCAAACCTTTTATGTAAGTACCAACCATACCTTTAGGTGTCAAACCTTTATGTAAGTGTCAACCTTTATGTTAGTGTCAAACCTTTTATGTGTCATATCTTTAGATATCAAACCTTTATGTATGTGTCAACCTTTATATTAGTGTCGAACCTTTTATGTGTCATACCTTTAGATGTCAAACCTCTATGTATTTGTCAACCTTTAGGCTATAGTCATATACATGTAGTTGGTCATATTTTATGCCCTTTTCTCAAAAATGATGTTCGAAATATGGGGCTGATAGTCGGCATGGAGTTGTTGTGTTGTATGTTATAGCAGTATCAGTAGGGTTAATATAACTACAGTGCAGTGCCATTTTCTTCGAGCGATGTGTAAATGTCTGAAATCCTCCACAAAACAATTTTTATCTTATTGTATCTCATTTATTTTAATCAATAGTATTGATTGAATACATTGTATATTGTAATTGTAGAACGTGGCTAATAATGCTAAAAGCACAGCCACTTACACTGTATTTTTGTATTGTATTCTTTGTACAAATGAATAACTTAATAAAAAACATATATATATATATAACTACATACCATTCTTTTGTTGTAGGTTGTCACAGAACAACCAGCAGGGTTGCCATGGCTGCAGGGCAAAAAAGAAGAGGAAGTTGAAAATAAACCAGACGCAAACAACAGATTTGGAGCTCCTCCTCAAGGTTTACACACACAATTTCACACATAATCATGTAGTGGTTTTATGAATCTTTAGAATTTCTAAAATTCCATGAAATTTCTCCTTGACCTTTTGGCCTGTTGTGAGGTCATACTTTTTGACATAGTAACTGGCAACATTGTCGTCTTGACATTATATTTATAGTGATGTCATTGTTATATAGGTCGTGATTAAATACAAACTCATACTTCTTCACCATAAGATAAATCTAATGTCATAGCATAAGTTCCATGGCATTGAGATTTGTTTGCTTTATTTTATTAAACAATTTGGCCTTTGTATTTCTCCAGTCCATTTTACTGTACTATTTTGTTGTTTTCCAGTCCATTATACTGTACTATTTTGTTGTTTTCCAGGTTCATTCAAGCCTTATGTGTCCGCATACAATCGTAATGACCAAGAGAGCAAAGACCTTAAACTAAAGGCATACTATTGTGCTGTATGTGAAAAACAACTGAACGGACCTCAACCTTACAACGCACACATGAACAGTAAGGCCCACAAAGAGGAGGTGGAACTTGCTGAGCATTACGCTAATAAATAGACAACTGAAAAGAAAAACAAACAGTTCATAAGCTAACAAGCAATGGTTTAGTTAGTAAAGTAAATGAGAACTGATAACTATTTCAGCAAGTGCTGTTTTTACATGAGGTTAAACTTGCCAAGCATTATTCAAACAATTAAACAACTGAAAAGTTAAACAAAAACAAACAGTTAAGTTACTATAGTAAAGTAAGTGAGAACTGATAGCTATTTCAGGAAGTACTGTTTGGTGAAATATATATTAGGTGCAACTTGCTGAGCATTATGCAAACAAATGACCAACTGAAAAGTTAACAGAATCAAACAGTTTAGTTAGTAAAACAAACAAGAACTGATAAATATTTCAGGAAGTGCTGTTTGTTGAAACATACATGAGGTGCAACTTGCCGAGCAGTATGCTAACATATGAACAGCAGAGAACCTGAGATGTTAACTGGAAACAGTTTAGTTAGTGAAGTAAACAAGGAAGTGCTGTTTGATGAGAACTTGCTGAACAATTTAACCATAGAGAAAGTGAAAAGTTAACTGAAATAAACTGTTTAGTTCGTAAAGTAAATGATTACTGATAGATATTCCAGAAAGTGCTGTTTGTGCTATAAAGCCCATGATGAGGTGCAACTTGCTGAGCAATATACTAACAAATAAACAAGTGAAACTCTTGCAAACAAAAATAAAAGTAAATAAAAACAACAAAAATGGAACACACAAAAGTAGTTACTGCAATCAACTGAAAAACAACAGTTTTAGTTTAAAGTTGTAAAGTAAACCTAATTATTTAACAATGGGTATTAAAAGTAGAGTACACATTGCCCGGACACATTGCTTTGTTTTCGAAAATAAGTAGAAAATAGCATGCGTCATAGAGACATGAATCTGCCATTTGTTTTTAAAATTGAGTTAAATATATCATTATTGGTTGAAGGTTGCTATATATATCTAAACTCGACCATTCTGCTTTGTCAGACCATATATGACATGAATTAAACCTTTTATGCCAACTCAACATGGCAGGTGCTAAATTCCAATGATTATAAAAAGGTTGACTTTGTGACAGTATCTTACCTAAATGGTCCAATAAGATTGAATTGTAACATAATTGTTAAAGATCTGTTAATATTTTCTTATGTCATTTGATAAAACTGTAATACTAGTATGACGTAAGAAACTTGAGGAAATAATTTTCTTTTGATTAATTAGTTATTCATTAGAAATAATTGAGAAAACATGTTTGTTAAATCTGTATCAGCCACACAGTATTTATGTGTAAAGTTTAGGTGTTAGAAAAAATAAATAGTATTTTTGATGAGAAAAAATATATTTGTTTTTATCATATCAAATGAGAGAAAGTAATTCCAAAATTTTCTCCTATTTCCATGTTTAAGTTTGTTTAAATCAATGGGACAGTACCAGAGTACATGACAAAACAAACTGACGACAATATCATACCTTTTTTAGGTACAATAAAAATACAGAGCTTTGCAAATTCGTCTTTGGACACACTGAGTTTTTTAGACCTCGTTGAAGATGCCATGCCCCGAATTTTAAACTGGACATTTGGGTTTAACCTTTATTTTCAATTTACTTGAGCCATATTCTTAATACATGAAGTGCTAAATATTATTTGTGAAATATGCACCAAGGGATGAATCTGACAATTTGCTTCTCACCTTTATGAAGAAAGATTACGTGGAACTTTTTCATCAAAGCAGTTGTCTAAAAGCATGGAGTTTCATTCTTGAATTCAATTTGAATGACAATGACTATTGTTATATAATATCAGAATATGGGTATATTGGGTGTGATTGTCTTTGAATGGTTGTGTTTAGAGAAATGCCCTGTTTATTATTAACACAGAAGATTTTATTTAGTTTAAATTTTATTTTCTGTTCTTTTTTGTACAACTTCTTGAAGAACAATTTCATCGCTTCCCAAATACATGTATATATAATTTTTATTGAACAACATTAGCCTATCAAACATTCTAGATATTTTTGCATATGAGAACTGATATCATAATTAAATTGACCAATCAGAATTTAGATATCATCTTTGAATTAACCATGAGTTTATATAATGCAAAATCTCTACATTTTCTAACAGATTTTTAAATACATGTACTGCTTAGGCTCAGCTGTGAAGCCTCATTATACAATTTGGGGTCTATGAAATTCCATATACCTTATATGTTGCCCTTTTAGACCCCCTCTGATGATATATCTATCTACTAAAACCAACCTCATCAAGATACTCAAATTATCTTGAATAATCTCAGTATCAAGCAATATGTTTTTACTAGCATGTCAACATGGGTATAGTCAGGAATAAGAGATGCAAATTGACGCAAATTTTAATAGGCGAGGCAAAATTGAGTAAATTGAGAAATAATACAATCGTAAGACTTAATTTACAGAAAAATATCTGAATTAATATTTCTATTAATTTAGGTAAGTGCCTCGCCTAGCTATGCCCATGTGTTGCGTTCTTCAATCAACATTTAACATACATGTATAACATACACATAATGTATCATTACAATGCAATTCTTACAAATATATACAGTAAAACGTGTCATCGGAAAGTCACTGGGACAAGCCAAAATTGCATGGATTAGCCGTGCATAGGAAAATTGGTGTCAATACGAAGGTCAGGGGACAGGGGAGACTAGGTAAATTGGATTTGGGTGGCGGCCATTGTATCTTGCCGCGAGGCTCCTCCCTGGGTTGGCAATCATACCAATGATTGTTTTTACAGTGAGGAAAATAAAATGACCGAAAAGTAATCACATTAATCGAGAGGCACTCAATCACACATGTTTTACAGTATAGGCAACAAAGCGTAAGGAATTAATCTTACAATTCAAGATTAATCAACATTGATACAGGTTTGATGTACTTGTACATTATTAGTAAAGCAATATTCAAAAGCAAAATCACAGTATAAGTTGAAAATGGAATGAAATATAATATGCATATATACATAGGTGGGTTATGTACAATTTAATAAATCTTTATCACACAATATTATGAAGGGGTCACACTAATAGAAACATACATTATAATTGTTTTAGTGTGGAGCACGCTTAAATTTTGCGTTTTACCAATTCTGTACATGTGTACCAAGCAGAATATCAAAATAATCAGCCTACTATATTATTTCATTCATTGTAGCCTAATTAAACAAGGCAAAACAATAACAAAATGTATATAGTGTAATAACAATTGATTGTAACGTATGATGACAATGAGGGTCAAAAAATGGTGGCTATAACCACTTGATGGTACTGACTAAAAATGCAATTAACCCCATCTATAGTGTTTTTAAAGTTTTCTGTTGGGCACAGGAGGACTTAAATAATTGTAACATACTTTAATATTTTGGCAACACACAAAGTTAATAGTGAAAACACCAAATATGAAAGCTTTGGCAAACAAAATGCCATCTATATAATTGGCAACCTAAGTGCCATCTATACTAAGAACTATCTACATATTGCACAGTATAACATCTTAGCATTTTAAGATGGCAAATAATTTAATAATGTCTTTGTTGTACAAAATGGTGGGAAATATTGTGCCGAAAAGTTCAACACAGGCAAAAAGCAAATATAGAAAACACATCATGCAGTGATCTCCCTGGCGATGAGGCAACTAGTGAGTCATCTTAACAAGATTTCATTGAAAATAAAACAATTCTGAAAAATTGGCATATTTGGATCAATTTTTGTATAAATTGAGAATTTGAACTTTGAACTCACACGGAGAAAACTCCTAGGAGAACACTGTTATGTATATCAGGACCAGTAACACTGTTTTTTAGCATTTCATATATTAACATAACATACATATTACATAAACTAAAGAAACATATTTAACAGCGTGTAAATCCACTTAATTCAAAATTTAGGTGGGATAAAAATTCAGCGGGACATTCCGTAATTTTAATTAAATTCAATAAATAAATAAGAATTTTGTAACTTGGATTGAAAATTTCTAAACTATTCCATGAGTGCTCCCTTATACAGGGAACAACCACTCATTATAATGAGCATTTATAATACACGTGAACATTTATTTACAGTACATATTCTTAAAGAACAATTAACACCATTTAAGTGTGTATAATGTATACATTATAAGGACCACTTACACTGCTTTTGTACTAAAGCATATTCTTTCAGACATAAAAGGACCACTTATACCTATTCTGAATATGATATCATACATGTGTGCACTAGAACATCTTTCACTGTTTTGTAGCATATCCTATGAGGATGAAGTATTCATTTACATTCTTTAATACATGCAATATTATATACAAGGACCATTCAAACTGTTTTATATCCTACGAGGATCAAGTACACAGTTCCACAATTTCAATTGTTGAATGATATAGCTCAAATATAATTGCAGATGCTTAATGGTTACATACTAATGCTACAAGATAAAATTTTTAAATATGAAACTTCATGAAATATGCCTAGTAGTGAATGATAATGATGAGGTGAACACTACATGCTATAAATACATCATGAACATCTAAAGAGAATCTGAAATGTTCTCCAAACGATGAGAAATGTTCTCCAAATGATGAGAGATGTTCTCTAAATGATGAGAGATGTTCTTGAAATGAATAGAGATGTTATTCAAATAATGTAGAGATGAAAGTCCACTTTACATCACCACTTTAACATTTCCTGCTATCAGTCTCTATATAATCTCCTTCGTAGAATTCACAATCTCCCTTGTAGACTATACAATCTCCCTTGTAATATACTTTATCTCCCTCATGGGCAATATGATATCCCTTTACGAGTATTCAACTTCTCCCAAGAGGCTACAGGATGTTCCTTATAGGCTACTTAGTCTTTCCTACAAGGGATTAATCTCCCTCGTAATAAATGTAATCTCCCTAATACACTACAGTCTCCCTCGTAGGCTACACAGTCTCCCCTGTAGGACCTGCAACTCGGACTCTAGTTTGTCTCACTTGGGGAATGTTGTTGTTTGTAGCGCCTGGCTCTCCTACTGATGAATCATCAATCTGAAACCATAGAAACAACTGGTTACTATAAGCACACAGGTGGTAACCATATCATCAAGTGGTTACCATGGCAACATTATGTATTTTAAACAAGGGTATTTTTAAGCTAATGCATGGCACTATAGCAAAGCTATCTTTAATAATCTTAAGAAAATCTATGTTGATTGACATCAAAACAACAACTAAAATAAAATTCCACACTGCTAAAAATTTAATAGG